GCCTGCTTCTCCCTCTCCCACTCCCCCTGCTTGTGTTCCCTCTCTTACTGTGTCTCTCTCAGTCAGATTAGTAAGAGAAATCTTTAAAAAAATAAAAATAAAAAAAATAATAAAAAAAAAAAACATCTTTCCTGCTGGGGTTAAAGTTTTTGTATCACTTTCTTTATGTCTCACGAGCAGGTAAGGTTCATCCCTTTCCACAAAGGGGTGGTCTTTGTGAGCTATTTAGTCTCTGAAAAGATTGGGAAAACCGCTTCAAGATCCTTGATGATTCTCACCAGAAGAAAGAAAATGGTGATGTCTGTTCCCATACAACAAATCTACCTGGTCTGAAGTTCCCGAGGAATGGAAAGGGACTGACTCTGAATGATATATTTGCAATTCCTTCAACCCTCTCGCCTCCCAACCCATCTTACCTGGAACGGGCATCAAGAACAGGAAGGGCAACAGGAGGAGAAGGTAACAGATCCTCATGGCCGACAGGCTTCGCAGCACACTGACACCAACCTAACACTGATGGCAAGGTGTGCTCGTCTACTTTATAAGGATTGCAGGACACACAGCCATGGGTACAAGTAAGCAGCGGCTGCAATTCCTCTAATAGTGCAATGACGACAATATGACGTGTTTCCTGATGCTTCATGCCAGTGTCTCTTACCCACAGACCACGCCCACTCACCCCGAGATAATTGCAAACCTGAAGGGTGAAGCAAGCCTGATGTGAGCACACAGCTATCCTGATGCCCTCTAGGCTCCAGGAGCACGTCCAGGTCCGGCTCGGAGCTGGTTATAGGTATAGGTGGCAAAGACCCTCTCCTCTTGGGAGCATTCCCAGGGCATGTAGTTGGGAGCTGCCTTGCCTCCACTTTGGCACTTCTAAGCTCTCTTCCTAAAGTCCTAGAAGATTCTGAAGCTCACCTGGGACCATAGCAGTCCAGCTTTCTACATATTCAGAATCTAGGTGTAAACTAAGGCTGGGTCACACCTTGAGCCTGCACAGGTATGCCTGAAATTGAGATAAAATGGGATCAGCTTCTAGATAATAGGAAAAGGAGGAAAAATGCACTACTTTCCCGAGTCCCTGACCCTATGCTCTTTTGCGTGCGATGTGGGCTATAACTTGGGTGAAACATGGTTTACGCTTCATCAGCGTCTGAAAACTGTCAGATTCATGAGTCAAGGTGTCTCATTCTCCTTCACCAGAGAAGAAGAATGCTAGGATGATGCATTTGGTGGACTGGCACCTCTTCCTTGTCGATGACACTCCCTATACAAATAAGGGGCTTAGGAAGTTGCATTTAAGACTTCTGGTTACTCATGGCTTGGGAGCATTCAAGGAAGTCCAGAGATCAGGTGATTTCCACTGGATATAGATTCAATGTTGAAAGGACCAACTTTTAAAAAAAATTATTGGACTTAAATGTTAAGGAATCCATTAGTGGTTTGTATTTGTCGATAGACGATTTAATTGGGAGCTGAAGTCACCATGACGTTGCCTGGCTCTTGTGTTGCATGAATGCAATTATAATGGATCCACTGAAGTTCCAGGTATCAGTTCTCGGAGCGTTTGTTCGGGATCCTGGTGCACCCATCGGGTTCTGTAAGCTATCACTGAACACCTCCTATAGATAGACAAGTGGCATGTGCTCGGGGTCAGTGGGATGGAAGGGGGTGATATGGAAAGAGGGACCAGTTCAGGTTCTTTCTCTCAGAGAGCACTTGTACGGGTAAAGGCAGACGTGCGTGCAATCAAAGAAGCCACAGAGGGGGGCATTTTGACAAGTGTCCTCGTAAGGGTTCTAGCACAGGGCTATGGAAATGTAGAAGAAAGATAATTCACAGTGAAAGGCAGGTTTCGATGATTTAAGAAGGGTTTTGAGTTGTAGACACTTCATTTTTTTTAAATCAAAATTTTCTCAGAAGTTCAGGATTTAAGACAAAGCAAGGTTTTTTTGTGTGTTTTTGTTTGTTTTGTTTTGTTGTTTTGTTTTGTTTTGTTTTGTTTTGTTTGAGAGAGGAGTGGGGAGGGGCAGAGAGAGAGGTAGAGAAGGAATCCTAAGCAGGCTTCATGCCCAGCGCGGAATCCCTCACGGGGCTTGATCTCAGGACCCTGATATCAAGACCTAAGCAGAAATCAAGAGTCAGATGCTTAACCAATGAGCCACCCAGAGCTTGGTATCTTGGTATCCACCCCAAGCAGGTATCTTTAAGCGGGGAAGGAAGTGAGTGTGGGGCGGGACGGGTGTTAGCGGTGCAGACAGCCTTGCTCAGTCTTCCATCAGATAAAAGAGAGGGCGGGGTGGGCGTTGTAGGAACCCGGGTGCGGGGCTGGAGTCCTCCGCTCATGGGGGGATGATTTACTGTTCCACATGGAAAACAGACCTCCCCAGTGACCTCGTGGTCTACCTGGTTCCTTCAAAGACTGGAAGGCATTTCTAAGGCAATGCCACTCTGTCATGAGAGGCTCTTTGGGAATGAAAGCTATTTTTCTTCATCCGCTGCTTTGGAAGCTGGGGCTCGGGGACTGGGCTGTGGCAGTGGTATCCTCCTCACTACAAAAGGAATTTTGAGGAGTATTTTGAGAAGGTTTATAAAAGTTTTGAATGTTTGTGGTAAAAATTCAAATAATAGAAGAGTTGGACAACGTTCTTCGCTTTTCCTCTCCCTGGGGGAACCACTGGTAACTGGGGTGTGTCTTCTTCCTGGCTTATTATACCTTCTTTTTTTTTTTGAATGTCCAAAATACTCGTCGCCTCTCCAGTCCTAGTGGTTGCACGTCCCCCAGCTGACACCGAATACCCGCCTGTGGCGTCTGATGCGCCAGGAAGAGCTGGAGCCTCGGGTCCCGAGCTCGGAACTGCAGACCCCACACGCCGACGCGCTGGCTGGCGTGCTGGGTTCTCCCTCTGCTCTGACGCGCTTTCCTGATGTTGACAAGGTTGAGGAGGAGAGACGCCGGTTATTTAACTCTTTTGTGTTAGACTTTCCACCAATCTTTTCTTCTTTTAATTCGATTTTGAAAATACGGAGCAGGGATTTGGTTGATGCAAGGTTCGGGCCCAGGGGCACTGCTACATGGAGGCAGACACTGGGTTTGGAGAGAGAAGTTAGCGGTTTAACTGTCAGCCCGAACACTGACTCCGTGAGTTTCCTTGAGTAAGTTCCTTCGCTCTCTGAGCATCTGCACCTCAGCCGTAAGCAGGCCGTGGAAGCCCTCGGAGTGAATGCTGTGAAACTGGCTGACAACTGCAAATGACCATGGGACCCAAGTATCACCGGGGGGCCCTCAGGAAGCATAACCAGTGAGGGGATGGTGATACTCAGGCAGCTTAAAGATGATGGCCTCGGGTGCTGGGTGGCTCAGTTGGTTAAGCGACTGCCTTCGGCTCAGGTCATGATCCTGGAGTCCCGGGATCGAGTCCCGC